AAGTGAAAAGAGTCTTTACATAACCACTGCATTTATCCCCAGCCTAAGGTTGGAATCAACCCTTCTCCTCCCACCAACAAGGGCGAGATCCCCCCCGCACATCCTCGTTCTTCTACCTGCGGACCTGGGGTCACCCTGTGATAGCGTCTCAGGGAGTCCATTTGAGGTTGCAGTGATGAACAGTAACTAAGCAGTCATACAGCACCATGATGCAAAAAACCCAACACTACTATCAAAAACCAGCCCCAGGTTGTTTGATGTCTCAGCAAATCCAGCCAACAGTGAAGCAGATTTCTAGCTGCTAAAGCCTATTGCAGAGCAGCTGGAAATGGTGCACACCGAGCACTCACTACGGAAACCCAGGCATTCTGCACTCAAAAAAAAAAAACATTTTAAGCCAATATGATATCTGTCTTGTCTTTTCTTTCTTCATCTAGAAGAGGGACAAGAGGTAGCTTTTTGGATCAGAGTCAGCAAACAGCTCTAATGAGGCCTGGATGGTAGATAAGGTCAGCACACAGCCGCAAACACCCTAGAAAAGGATTAATAAATAAACTCAGAAGATCTAGACAGCATAGGATCCTGGGGACATGAAAGGCAGTAAGTCAAGAGGAGGACTGGACTGGATTGGCTGGCCCAACTAGTTTTCCATCCAGCAGGACTATCATCTTTAAAGAATGATTTTTAAGCTTTTCCGTCTCCTATTAATTTGTTTGACATGACCTTATCAGGACTCTGCTAGTTATGTTCTGCTTTCCTTATGTAGTTGTTTTCAACAAAGTGAAACTGCATATAGTTGTCTCCTTCTGTTATGCATTCACTTCTGCAGTGCTGAAACATTAAAACAATTTGAAAGATATGACAACGAAGTTGCTCAGTACAGTGAGCATGTGGATTGATAGGTTTTGATTTTTTTTCTTTCGAGAACAAGACTTGTCAGTGCTCAACTAGAAAAGCTGCCAAATACATCATCATCTCTCATTCACTATGACCCAGGTGCTGTCAGCCCAAACTGACTGTTTTCAGTAAAAAGAATAAAAAAAATGCATTGGGTGAGTTCAAAACGTATCCCAAGAGGTGCCAATTAGGAAGCATTTTAAGTGCAAATTCTAATGTTAATTTTCTGAGTTCATTTGCTCCAAGTCCATTACTAAATCTCCAGTTTAAAATGCACTTTATAGCCTAATTTTGTACTACACAATAATGTTTCCTTCCCACTCCACATACTCTTATAGTTGCACGTAGGACTAACACATGCATTTAAATATTTGATTCACTGCCATTAGCAAGAGAGGGAGAAGAAAAACTTAATGACGGATGATATGATATGCTGTGCACAGAATGCCTTCATGCTATTCACAGCACATTATTATCAACATATCTCTTCCCATCATGTGCATTTTTTAGGGAACTAAAACAAACAATGTCACTGAACTCAGAAAAGATTTGCTAGTAAAAGGATTAAAGTCTATGGATCATATAGATGAGTGATCAGTTTTGTTCAAATCTGACCTGTTAGTTTTGTTCCGATTTTTTTCAGTAAACATCTTTATACTGAAATGTGGGAGCTTACTACTTTAAAATGAGCAGTGAAATATATAAAACACATAAAACATGCTTTTATATGTTTTCATATCAAAACCAGTTACACAGATCTCTAATCTAACCACTGGAGTAACCAGCACAGCAACTTAATGCATTTAAACTTGGGAGACATCCAAATGGAACAGTTGAAAATTTCTTGTAAATCCAAATGTACTTTAAAATATACTATTGCTAAAGCAAAACAAGGGTTAGTTGAGAGGACGTTAAGAGCTAGAGATTAAAAAAAACAACCTATCTTTCCCAGTGTAATACTTCACACATTTTGAATGCTTTTGTGCCCTTTCCACTCAGCAAAACACAACCAATCAATAGACCATACTCAAGAGGCCCAACATGACAGGGCCCAGTACAGTCACTCCTGCTCAGTGGTAAGGAGCTTCTGCTTTTGTACCTTTCTGAATTCCCAGTCACCCCTTTTATGGGAAGAATGACCCCAGCCTGGAGCTGCCACCACTGTTGGTGGATGTCCTGTGCATGGAGCAGTGGAACTGAATCCATAAATGATCCTGGAAGTGGTGCTGACACTAGGAGTGAGCATACACCTTACCAGCAAGAACATCATCTGACCTAAAGATGCCACCTCTTTTACGTGGATTTTGAAGCCAGAGTTTCAAAAGCTTTAATTCAGTTGACTCGGGCTTCAATACATTTTCTATTATATGCCTTACTTTGGCCAAAATACCATGAGAAAAAGCTAGGGTTTGATACCTGAGTTTTTCCTGTTTCTAATGAATATCTAAGTCCAGTCAGGGAAACGAGATTTATATTTGATGGCAACCGCATTATTCACATGCTTAAAAATAAGCATGTGCATAAATGACTGCAGCTTTGAACTCTGTTGATATTGAAAATAGAACAGTTGATTGCTTGCACAGGGATCCAGGGTGTCCCAGTCCTCTACTCATCAGTAACACAAGAAGCGAGAGAGAGAATATCTCCCTTAAAAAATCAGCTCAGAAAACTCATAATCCAATTAAAGGAACATCCTCTCCTCCACTGCCATTTTATTGTACAATTATTCACCACATCCATCGTCTTTGAATGATTAAACAACTTGTTCAGCTTGCTTTGAAAGGCAAGACAAGGTTACAGGGGTGGTGTAATTCTTGGTCTCCCATTGCTCTTCCTGATGTTTTAGATTAGAAGATGCCTAACCTGGTGACTGAGCTTGCTGAGGACATGCCATGCCAAGTCCCTGGAAACTGGAGCTGGCAGCGCCTGCTCGCTGCCGGGTGCAGCATTGGCCACCGCAGCTGCGCCAGCCCTGGGGAGCAGATGAGCTGTGGCCAGGGCTAGGGCAGAGCAGGAAACCAGCCAAAGGAAGGAGAAAGCTCTACACGACAGAATTAAAGTGTACAATTACTGCCACGGTATAGACTGGACCAAACTTGAACTGCTTAAAGCCCTGAGTCCTTGGGTATCTCTGCTTGTACGTATTTCTTCCCATTAGGAGCTAATGTTCCCAAATGACAGGTAAATGAATTCATTTTCCAGCATCTGCGTGCATCCTGCACAAGCAGAATCTCCCAGCCAATGTAAGACCATTTGGTCAAATGGCATTTGCAATTTGCTTTTATATTTAGGACACTTGCCTGAAAAATTCCACAGATATTTAACAAGGTCAGTGGGCAAATTTGGGTGAGCGATATGCAATTTCTGCTATGTTAAGATAAACTACTTTAATTCATCAAGTTTGTATTCCTTTTATATCTTAAAATATAAAAACACATAATCATAACATCATAGAATAGTTAGGGTTGGAAAGGACCTTAAGGTCATACAGAGAAATACCTTGTGGATCTAATTCACACTGCAGCTTTTTATTAGCAAATCATGTCTTTTTTCACCTTTTGGAAGAGGATACGGCAAGATCAAGTTTGATCAAGATTTTGAATATATAAAAGCTAAAAAGCCCTGGAAGTTTCTTCCAATAGAAATACATATTTTTCAATACAGTTTCTACTTTTTTATTTATTTCTTCTTTTTTAAAGAAGCAACATCCCACAAAGGGAAAACAAAGATACCCAACCAGCCAGAGAAATATCAAAGCATTCTAAAGATAATTGTTTTGGTCTAAAGCTACAACTTGATTCTGATGAAAGACTGAAGTCTTATTGCATGCAAGGTCCTAAAGCACCAGTTTGATTTTAATGGTCTAAACATCCCTAATTTTTTATTTCCTTGAATAAACTCTTTCTTGGTAGATACTGCTCCCATAACAATCAGCATCACTTTGCATAAGTATATTTACATTTTTCTTTCAGAAGTACAAGGCGCTGTACAAAATGCAATGCAAGCTATGCTATTATAAAGAAATAGAGTTTTTCGAGTCCTTTGAAAATGCATTGAGTTTAAAATGCTTTTTTTCTATTAAAGTGCTTTATCTCCTAAAAGTTAAAACCAAGGTTCAGAAGAGTCAAATCTTTCTCTTGTTTTTAAAGGTGGCAGCTCCTGACAGGAGCACGCATATTCAGGAGTCCTATTCAGAGGGTCTCCAGGCGTGGTACCCATTCTGCCTTGTCACTGGTGCAGGCTCAGGGCACACTACCAAATTCCAGACCTGCGGATTCATTGCTAAACAGCAGCTTTCTTCAGCACAGCCCCGTGAAGCCAGTTTAGAAAGCAAATGTGTGTTTAAAAGTTAATTCAGCACAACCCCCTGCTGAGGGGTGGTGAGTAACACATTGGGACGTAGAACGTGTAACGTTCCCAAGCACCGAGCAATGAAAAAGTGTCCTGAATTCAAAGTGCTCTATCTCAGAGCTCTATCTCCACATGAGCTCTAGCCTGCAGAAATGGAATTCACTGTTCCATGGACAGGTTCCAGAAGCTGTTTCCGTATGCAATGCATGCCAAAACTGGGCCTAGTCGGCTGTTATTAAAATGTTGCTGTCAAGCTATTAAATGCTTGAAAAGCAGAGAATTAAAAGACGCTTTATGCATGTACTCCCTACAGTGTTTCTAATAATGCCATTGATGTCTGGAGAACCAGTTCCCTTCAAAATATAGTTACAGTTTGTGTTTATAAATCATTTCTTTTAAAGGCTGCCACCAAACAACCAATCTCATTCCTCAGTCTAATCTGCAGTTTGAAGAGGAATGAGATTGAGCTCAAAGATTGCAAAGTATTCTTCAAAGGCTCAACTAAAAGCAGGTGCTTTAGGGAACTAGTCCTCCCAGAAACAGGGTATTCTAAAAGCACCTATTCCTCCCGTTGGACCAGTTTGCACTGGGGAGTAAGACCAAGAGCCTGCAAGAAACTTCTTCACCTACACTGCCCTCAGTTCTGCATCATTCCCCTAAATTCCCAGGATGTGCTTGGTCAATTTACCATCAAACAACTATCTAGCAACACCTAAGTTACTGACATGAATGACTGGAAACCCAAAACTTACTCTATCTAAAAATCTGTCAATTATCTGTCTCTTCATCTAAATGAAGAACTTCAGACCCATCTGCAGAAAAACACATACAGGATAAGTGACTTAACAACTGCAAGAGCAAAACCACAGAAAGCCAAAATCCAAAGATTTCAAGAAGAGGGACCCCTTAGCATATCAAAAGCATCAGAGAAGTAAGCACAGTTGAAGCTGCACACTCTTGAGTCTCTAGGAAGTAATGGGAGCAGTTGTCAGGATCAGTCCCACGTGGGATCAGTGCTGGCTGCGTCACATTCTGCTCTGCCTTGTAGACAGAAGAAAAGCAACTCAGACGCAAGCAGCCAAGCACACAAGATGGAAGTGGAAAAATAGTCATCCTGTAATTGACTGCTCACTAATGCAGTCAATTTATGGCTGCAGAAAAAACAGCTAATTTGTGGGTAATGGTGTTTAAAAGATAAACCATCTAGACTGAATCAGATGTACATAATCCAACCATGCCTTCACTCTGGGGAGAATTCAGCATTTTCAGGAAAAAGTGAATAATCCTTAAGCATCCAACACTTCCAATGACCCCAGTTAGGGCTGAGGTCTCTGTTTTATGTAATCTGGACCAAATAGCATGAAGTGTATCAAAATTTGCAGGGCTTCAGAAACACTGTGACATTCTTCACTGTCTGGGATGCAAGAGGCTAGAAGTTATAGGGAGATTCTTGGGAAGGTACAGCAAGAGGTACACTTTCATTACTGAGGACTTAACCCAGATCAGCGAGAACCCCATTCAATCACAGACTAGTGCTGAGGGTGAATTTTAAGCCTGTCCTTGTCTAATCCTTACACGAGGAAGGAGTCACTGGTAGGATGGGAAGTACTCTGTTGTTCTTTTGTAACATCTGTGGGAGCATCCTTGAGACGAAATCTCACGATGCCAAAGCAGACTTTATTTAATACTCCTAATTCACAACTATTTCGTTCAAGTGTTTGATACAAGATCCAAAGGGTTTGATATCTGGAAAACCTTGCATGTAATACCCTCTTGACAGATCATTACACGAGTCTAATTGAATTTAGATCTTGAGATACGCCGTTCAGAACTTGTTTGCGTTTCACTAGAAATGAGATGATCATCAGTTACCTTTGCATAGATATTATGATGCATATTTTCCTGGACATGAAACACAAATACCAAAATATTCAGGTATTTGTGTCCTTTATTTGCATACATTTCTACATAGAGGTAGCAACTAAAGTAATTACTGTAACAGGTAATTATGTGCTCACATGTAATTTGCAAGAGAGGAGAAAAAGATCCTACAGTTTACTCATTCTGTAGATATTTGGGGCAACAAAGCAAACAAGAAAGAGCTAGAGGAAACCCTGCATGTTTGCCTAAGATGTCCTCCTGCCAAATAGACAGTTCATTTAGAGAAGAGAGAGAAAAAAACCAACCTCCACTACTTTCTCATGAGCAATTTCCCCTTTTTCCAGAAAATTATTTGCCTCTGTTACTAGGTTCTAAATAGATAAATAACAAAAATAAACAAATGTAAGAAGTCAAAACACTGCTACTTTTCTTTTAAGACCTTCTGTTACAAATGAATCAACAGCCTCTTGAAAAAGCTCTCTAATTATTGCAATTTTTGCTTAGTGGAAGAAACACGCTTGTATAATTGATTCGAATGGAAACATTCTTTTTTACTCAATAGGAAATATTTCTTCTATTTATGCCTGTTATTTAACAAAGAAAATTGTCTTTCTGAAATGAACATCAAAAACTAACTTAAAAAAGAAAACTTCTGCCATTCACCAACTCCTTCCCTTATTTTGGAGGATAAATTATCCACCAAATCTATAAGTAACTCATGCTAATGTTTTATTTTCTTAAAATTTCAGAATTTAGACATTTACTGAGAAAAAAAAACAAAACCCCATCCAGTTTCTTTTCCAAAGCTTCATCTGTGGCTAAGTAATTACTGAAACATCTTTCCCCTCTACTAGGCTAGTCTTTAGTAGATCACTGCAGCCTGCCTTCATTGCAAGAGTTTATAATTAATGGGATGTCTGAGATTTGGATCCAGTGTGTGGATGTTACAAAATGCATCACAAGTCTTGGTTTTCATAAGCTGAAGAAAGAGCTGCTTTGCTAGTCCTACAAGTCCTCCTTGAGCTCCACCAAAATATGAATTAATCCCTGGGAAGTTAAGCCAATGCAGGTTTCTGGTATCTGGCTGTGACGTGATTGAAATGGGCTCAACATCATGACAAACATAACCCTCCCTACCCTCTCCTTCCCAGCCTCCCACCTTCCTTGACACATTAAGTGAATTTCCCCTCCTCAAGTTCTTCATATATTGTAGGGGAAATCCTCTTGTAACTCATTTTGCCACTAAACTCATTGTGTTCTAGGTTTCACCTCTTGCATGAAAAAAAGGATTGTGTTTATTTTTCTTCTAAAACAGGTAGAACAATCCTTTTTTACCTTTGTTGTGAAAGCACCTTCTAACATACATTCCCTAAAGGAGGACACACTGCTAGTATTTAGGAAACACCAGAGCTTCCTGGGCCACCAAAGAATTTAAATCAGTTCTCCTCACTCTGTTAACCATGTTGGAAGAGAATCCTATAGTAAAACTGTGCTGAGAACTCGGGTACATAAATACGTACAGAAAACTCGTGTTTGAGCCTTTGGGCATTTTAAGTAGTAACTTGGATTTGTGTGAGTGCCCCTTCCATCCCCTGCTGTGGTTCCCAGTGCTGTACCCACTGCTCTCACAGTGCTTTCTCAGGGGGATTGGACAGGGACTGCCTACCCCACTCCTTACTCACAGGTAACAATCCAGAGCAACAGACTGCTCACCTGTACCACAGTATACGAACTAGGTCTTCGCTGTTTATGCTTAATTCCAGACATACTTATACTTTAATCCCAAGGTTGGATAACAACAAATGCAGAAGAGTCTCCACAATTACTTGACAGGATAGGACCATCACCACACAGAGCTTTTCACACCTCCTTCCCTCTGTTTTTTGGAGAAATAATAATGACGCTAGAAGAACACGGCATTGCTCTACCATCTTAGCCATTTCCTTGCATCTCAGACCACACTTGATCTTTTCCTTCCCAAGTAATTGACATTTCTCTCTGCTCATTTCCGTGCTAATCAGATGATAAACCCATGTCAAATTTAAAGGGAATAATATGGCTTCTGAGTTACTCCCCAGAGAAATACCAGAAACACCTTTCTCAGATACAATTCTTCTATGATATGTCTTTGCATAACACACTTGAAAATTCCAGGGTTGTTCCCTTAGTGGTTTTTGTTTGTTTGTTTGTTTGTTTGTTTGTAAAGATCTTCCTCAGTTTAAAACACCACAGACAACAGTTTGTCACATGAATGTACCATGAAGCAAAACTCCTACACGGGTTTTTCAGCATTACCAGATTTGCTTTGGGACCTTCATCACATATTTAGCCAAGCTGTATGAAAGGCATAATCACAGAGACTTCAAGTCATTTCTGAGCTCAGACGAGATATTTGTCTGTGTTCGGTTCCAAGCTGCATTTTTTGGCAGAGTTTAAAGATAAATAATTGAAAATTCTGTATGTTGATCTAGAATGTATAATTATTTGTTCTTAATAAGTACACACGTGCTTATGAGTCCAGAGCTCCAGGTAGGAGAATTTTAAGCAAATGGAAATAAATATAAAATAATTGCACGTAGTTCTATAAAACTGTAGAAAGTTGTGAAGCTGATTTCTAGGTCCTAAAATATCATACCCCGTTCTACAATAAAGTTTCTTTCTTTCCAAATACCTGCTCTGCAGCCCCTTGTCATCTGGGGCACTGCTGCTTCATGAAGGAGGTTTTCAGGCAATGAATGGTTGGACCAGTTGCTGGAAATTGGCTCTGCAGAAGTACCTGGGAATGAAAGCACCCAGCAACTTGCAGCTTGGAGACCAGGGAGGGAAACAGAGCCTGTACTGATGCTAGAAGAAAGGACAAACCTAGGACTGTGTCCTGTCTGGGTTTTGACTAGAACACACAGATTTAAAGACTTTTTTCTTTTGACATATCCCCCATCAGAGTTTAGTTTGTTGCCACACATTGCACTGACCTGTGAAGTCAAGGCTTGACCTTTTTCATTGAGTCCAAGTGAGAAAGCAGATGAGATACTGGGACAGAGGCAGACTTTTAGCCTCAGAGGCTGGCAAGGGAGGCAGAAGTGCTGCGCCTGAAATCTGTGTTGGGCTGTTACCAAGACATCGCTTGTTCCACAGCCATCCACAGACTGTCACATCATTTCAGTACTAGAAATAAAGGGTGGTCTGACATGTAAGTCATTAATAAATAAATAAATAAATAAATAAATAAATCTCTATTCCTAAGCCTCACAAGAAAAGAATGCATTAGAAAGTCAGATTTTTTCAAGAAGAAAGTCAAGTCCAAATGCTAGTTAGGCCTGTCTGCAGATGTGAATTGTGCATGTAAAAATATACACAGAGACTCCTTTAAACATGAAGCCAATGCTATGAAGGACTAGATGTAATTTTCCAAACAAAAATGCTACAGTCCCTACCTTAAGCATTTAGATAACTACTTAGCATGCTTGGAAGATACCTACGCTAGAGAGATGCTGGGCAAAATAAGATATTTTTGTATAGGATTTCACCATTCCACACCCAGAAAGGGAGCGCTGTAACATGCAAGGAAGAAGTTAACATGCTTGAAAAAATCACCCTACGATTACAACCAATGCTCTTAATTTACTCTCTGAATTGAAAGCTATCAAGGGGAGAAAATTTAGGGCCTTTTGGAGCCCCAATTTATGTCTGACTGTGGGAGGAACAGAAGTCATCAATCTATCAAACCCTTTTCAAACTAACACACTTTTTCTACCAAAAATTGTTTAATGTTTTCTCAGCAAATTTCTCTGTAAAAAAAAAAATAATAATACAAGACAGACCCTTCCATAGTCAATGTTTGCTGTAAATTTACCCAATCCCTCAGAATTATACAGAATGAAACACACTAAATTAGCCTTTTTTCCATTTGTGTTTTGGCACATAATATGTT